CTGTCTTCGATGCTTCAAGCTTTTCCTTGGATTCCTAAGTTTGAGCCTCCTCGGGGCAAGGGCTGGTTCAAGGGCAAACCTCCCAGCAAACCTAAAGGTAAGGGTAGGGGGTTCGGTCTTAAAGAGGCTTTTTCAGGCAAGGAACGCACTCCCTGTGCAACAACGAGGTCCAGAAGATCTGTGTTCAGTACAATCTGCCTTCAGGGTGTCAGCGACCCGCTTGCAAGTTTCTCCATGTTTGCTGTGTTGCCAAGCAGGACGGCGCCCCTTGCGGTGGGAAGCACAGTGCAACTCAGCACCGGGCAACTCCTCACTGACTATCATGTGATGTGGCTTCAGCTCTTTCAAAGTCCTCAAACCTTTTGTGTACAGGCGACATTCTTGCAGGGGCGGCTATACCTTCGAGCAGCAATCCTCAGGATCTGCTGGCCAATTTCCTTGGTGCAAGCGACTTTTCTTTTGCGGCATTACTTTCAGTCTTGGTGGCATTCTTGGGCGATTTGAACTTTTCGAGGCGTAGTCATGTGGTTCAGTCCACAGAATCTTCAGCTTATCTCAATTTCGGATACCGCTCAGGGACACAGGTCGGCATTTGCAATCTGACTTGGGATTATCCACAGCTTGTTTCTTTCATCAACCTTTGTTTGAGGTAAGCTTTCCCTAAGAAGAGTTGGGCTTCGATTTGCGTGTCACATAACTCTTTTGCAAAGCTACACAGTGATTCAGGGAATTTGTACGGCTCTGAAAACCATGTGCTTTCTCTGGGCCAACATGTGGGTGGCCTTCTTTGGTTGGAGGGTGTATTGGATCAGCCTGCGCCTCCCCCATCTTCTCAGTCCGTGGTTTGTTCCGGCGGCCTGGTGAACATTCACGAAAAGCCATTTTCTTTTAACCCATGTCTTCTTCATGGTTCTTCTGAGTGGATTGGAGATCGATGGGTGCTGATCGCGTACACCCCGACAATCTTCCAATCTGCTTCATCCGAAGATTTATTGCAGTTGCAGGCGCTATCTTTTCCTCTCCCTGGGGCTGCGAGCGAATCTTTGGCGGCAACTTCACCATCGCCAGTGCCTTTGGCGTCAGATACAAAGCTTTTCCTGGACCTCTGCTGTGGATCTTCGGCTCCTTTCTCCACGGCGGTACGTGCTCTGGGTATCCCTTGCCTTGCGGTTGATCCACTTTTCGGAGAAGGTTTGGACCTTCTTCACGATGAAACTTTTGACAGACTCATGGCCTTGGCTCACAATTGTGTCTTTAAATTTGCACATGGCAGTCCACCCTGTGGCGAGTTTTTGCTGGTTAAGCTTCGGGACGACGGTGGGCCTCGGGCCATCCGCGTGCCAGATGAACCTTATGGCAGGTCTGATCTGAATGAGGCAGAGTCCGAACGCTTGCATACCTTTAAGTTGGCGACCCGGTGCATATCTTTGCTGCTGGCAGTCTTTGAGTCAGGTGGCCAAACCAGTCTTGAGGTCGTCACGTCCGCATGCCAGTGGCAGCAGGATTGGTTTAAGCACTGGGCGTTTGCGACATCTCTTCGCTCACTTCAGAGCCTGGCAGGCGTTTGCCAACATGGAAAGGATGCACATGCACAGATCTGGGGCGTCAAAGATGAGAATGGGCAGCATCTGTCTCGCTTGACAGCCACGTACCCTGAGAGTTTGGCAAGCGCCTTGGCCCAGCATGTTCTTCCTTTGTTTACGCCGCTGCCGGACGCACAATGCGTTGACCTGCAGGAACGTATGCAGCTGCTTCCACGTAAACCCATGTCAGCTTCCTTTCCCTGTGCTACCCAGGATGGGGGGGGATCTTCAGCATGCCAGATTGGTCCTCGCCGCAGCCAGGCAAGGATGATCTCCTACGTGAAGTACGCCACAAACTACGTGCAAAGCTTTTGCAGTTTCGTGCTCCACAACGCCTCCGGGAGCATGTGGCAAATAATACAAACTCCCCGCTGTTCACTTCAAAGGAGGCCTTTGAACTGCGTGCAATTTGGGATGCGGTCTTGGCGCCGTCTGCTGGTTTGGATTGGCAGGTGTCAGCTGGTCAGCCTTACTCTCTTTCAGCTTTGGAAGCTGTGGCATCTTTCATTGCTGATAAAGATGTGTCGCTATGGCCATGCTTGCGTGCGGGGGTGCCGACAGGTTACCGCCGCAATATACCTTTGTCTGGGGTTCTGATTCCGCTGGAGTGAAACGACTTCGATCCGCCACCTCTTCAACACTGTACTGGTAACTGGAGTGAGGCTGAAAAGGATCCGGATTTGTTCCGTGAGCTCATTGAGCAGGAGGTGGCTGCTGGCTTCTTGGAAGAGGTTGGCTCACTGGAGACGGCGCAGTCACGTTGGCCGAATCTCACTGCAGTGGGCAAGTGCAACATTGTCAAGCATCCCGCCAAAGCTCCTCGCTTGATCATGGACAGCTCTATATCAAATACCAATGCTGGTTGTTACATTCCGGAGCGTTGCACGATGCCGTCTTTGCAGGACATTCGCGCATCATGGGCCCTGCGGGGGGATGATACAGATTTTCTGGCATTTGCAATGGACATCAAGGGGGCACACAAGACAATACGAATACATCCAGACGAATGGGGTCTCAATATGCTGCAGCTGGCATCCATCTGCTTTGCATATCAATGCTGCCCTTTCGGCGCAGCGTTTTCAGCCTTTTGGTGGGCGAGGCTTTCAGCTTTCTTCATACGGTTCCTGCATGTGCTGATTTTCTTGAAGCGTTCCCTGTGCGCTTACCTGGATGATTTCTACATGGTTCAACCTTGCGAAGTGGCAGCTTTGACATCATCGATGATCATTTCTGTGTGCCAGTGCTTCAATATACCTCTGTCGTGGGCCAAATTACAGTATGGTGCACATGTGGTTTGGATAGGCTGGTCTTTTAACCTGCGCTCACACTCCTTTCATCTGCCATACGAAAAGCTCGAGAAACTTCGTACAAAGCTGTCTGCGCTGCTCAAAGGCGAGTTCACTACGCGGCATGAATTGGAGGTCGTGGCTGGTTATTTGCAGTGGGTTTTCCAGATGCACAAACTCTTAAGCCCTGGTTGTCATGTTTGTACGATGATATGCGTCGTCCAGTTGCGACTTCATACTCCGTGGAGCCCTCACAGTGGATTGAGTTCATTTCATGTATTTCAGATGACCTTCTGATCCAGCGGCAGTTACCTGGCGCAGCGCTTCCTCTTGGTGGTCGTCTTCTTTCGGTGAAGCATCAGGCCCTGCGCAGCAAAGCAGATCTAGGATGTGTGGGGATTTCACCAAAGCGTATCTGGCTTCGCATAACCAATCCTGCGTCATCCAAGCGTCGACTTTCGCATCAATCAAAGGTCTTCTTGCACTACTGGCGTCAATGGGCACAGATGCCTTTCTTTTCGCGCCCCCTGGCAATGCCACCTCGCTGGCTCCCAGACGCTTTCGCTGCAGATGCTTGCGCTTCTGGCAACAAGATTGGGGTTGGCGGCTTCATCAAGATGGGCGATGCACCTCCTGTCTGGTTCTCTGAGATGTTCAGCCTTCGTTCTCTTCAGAAATTGATCTCTGATCTACCATCAGTTGCACAAGAGGCCATCACTTGCTGGGAGACTTTAGCCCAAATGGGGCTTGTTCTTATTCTGGCTTCATGCTTTCCTGGCGACTCAAGATCTGTGTACCTTCTTGGTGCGACAATACCGGGGCGGAATCCACTTCGAACAAGTTGTTCTGCACATCTCTTCCCCTGGCGTTCTTTGCGCAAAAGAGATTGCTTCTGTCTTGACTTTTCAGCAAACCCAGTACACCGACCTCTCCCAGCTGAAGCGTGACCGCAGGCGCATTAAGAAGAGTGCTCGCAGCGATAAAAAAATTGTTCATCTCCAACAATCTGTACACCCCGCGGATCTTGCTTTTTCTTCACGACGAGTCCAACCGCCTTCCCAGGTATATTCCCCATCAGCGACTGCAATTGTTTGGACATCTCCTTAGACATTGAGATTCGCTGGAATATGCGTCTACATTCCAGGCCGCTACGGCCTACCGACTCGCAATCGACGGGGTCGACCCCGAGTACAGTGGAGTGAATCCTGTATGACTGAGGCACCGTCCCGTCTCTCCCACCTTGAGTCGGACGCGGCTCCAGCGCAGACCAACATCACCCATAATTTCTTTAGTATTACCTCGGCGGACCATGTCCGACACAGACACTCTTCCACTTCTTTGGTCCACATGGACAAAATACCCTCCTGTACAGACAAGTCACTAAAGCTGCTCATGATCGATCAGTTTGGAGTCAAGTCCTACACAAACCTCCCAGGCCGTTAACTAGCGTGCATGCTAACTCCTAGTTCCCAAAGCCTAAGACCCTGAAAGCTGCCTGCTTTTCGATGCGGTTTCACCTGCACTTCTGACGATGGCCGTCTAACTTTTGTGATCTAGCTGTTCATTATCTCCTTCTTTTGTCTGGTGATGTCGGCCTGTTCTCAGAAGTAATTGGTTTTCACAAATGCCGGTGCCGATGAGCACGATACAGTGCCTCGCGCAGTCCAAAAAAAAAGGTGCAACACCACCTAGCATGCCCTGTGGAAAGGAAAGAGAGAGAGAGAGAGAGAGAGAGAGAGAGAGAGAGAGAGAGAGAGAGAGAGAGAGAGAGAGAGAGAGAGAGAGAGAGAGAGAGAGAGAAAGAGAGCCCATCGTCACACTTTCACCCAGACCTGACTCACCTCCGGGCGCGCCTGGTGCGTGGGGGGTCTCCCCCAAGCCCTGCAGAAGAAGAAGAAGAGAAAGAGAGAGAGAGAGAGAGAGAGAGAGAGAGAGAGAGAGAGAGAGAGAGAGACCGCCGAGCAGTATGCTCGGCTGAGGGCAGCCTCCAGCACGCTCTGAAGGAAAGGACAGGACAGAAGAGACCCCGAAAGGAAAGAGAGAGAGAGAGAGAGAGAGAGATTTTCCTCCCCATATCCCCAGCAAGCCAGCAAGCCAGCAAGCCAGCAAGCAAGCAATCGCATCATGTCAGGCATTGGTTCCCATGCAATGTGATGTGCGGATGTGGATCATCACCAGGCGAGCTACCTCAGCGAATGGCGGTTGTTTTTTGGTATAGAGTGTGGACTGGACATGTTTGGCTCTCTCAATCGTTCCTGGTTTCCCTCACCTTCTTTGCACATGAACCTCCGGCTCCAGGTACCTACCAGTAAGGTTATTCGGATTCAGGAGTTTCCGCATTGGTTCGGTGTCCAACTTGTAAAGATGTGCTAATGTCTGTTTCCATTGTTCTTCACACGGGCGAGGCCCTAAAGTCTGAGAAGAAAACCCAAGCTGCAGGATTTAAAGTTAACGTTTTGCGGCCTTGGGAAGTGCTTCCGCTGGGACACTCACGGCACTCTGCTGGACTCCAAGCATGGCAAAGGCCCAGTAAGCAGGATCCTTCGCCCGGCCCTGTAGCTTGCACTTCAAAGCAGCTCGTCCATTCGGAGTGGCAGGGCGCTAAGCGTAGCATGGTCCCGAGGGTCCAGGGTGGCTTGAGGACGGCGTGAGGTCACCACTGGGCCCGGAGGCTTTGACTTGCGTCTCTCAACAGTGCCCACCGCATTCGAACCTGAAGATGTTTTGTGTCTGAGGCACCTGACGGCTGAAACTTGTTCCTCACAGTCTCATCTCTGAAGCTCCAACCATATCCTGAACCAAGATGAGAATGCTGTGTACTTCCGCGACATTTCGGAGCAGGTCGGAAGCCACGATGTTGCTTTGGAACGGAGATGTAGATCTCTGACAGGACTTAGTCTTGCGTGAGTTGGGAGCAAGAGTGAGGGAGTCAGGAAGTGCGTATTTCTCAAAATATTCCCTAGATAGTCCTTAATAGGGACCACTATAGTCCCCCGATAATCCCAATGTGTCCCTAGATTCCCACAAGGCCCCCCCATTTTGAGCAATGCCCAAGCTCACGATGCCTCTACAGGTGGATGGGGCAAGCTTCTTGGATGGAGCTCATTTCTACAACAATGCGCAGCACTCACAGGCTGAAGTGGAAGCAAGCACGAAAGAATCTTACATGCATGGAGTTCCGGGATTCTTCAAGGGAAGCGCACCTAGCAGACAAACTCCAAGATTGTTTTTGGATTGGTGTCTTGAGCTCAGACTTTCTCAAGCCTGATTCCTGATAGCTGCCAGGAGCATGCGACGAGTGCTGGGTCTAAGCACAAGCAAGGCCTTGCCCGGAGCGAGCAGGTAAGCAGACACAATGAAGCGACATGTACAATGTCGAGTGAAAAGGGAGCTTCAGGCACATGAACATTTGCCACAATAGGTGCGTGGTTGCCCAAGCTAGAGCCCGGCTAATTGGAAGAAACAGCTTCATGAGTCTTTTCGCCATTGGGCCGTATCTTGTCCACCAGATGTGTTTGCAGGCGTTTTCGCCGCAAACAAGGCATGTGAGCCCGGCAAGATCTCTTGTCCAAGCAGCTGAGTCATGTTCTGCGGTGCATTCTTGCTTAGGGTTTTCAAGAATCCTTTATAGCGAGCACATATCGTGCATCAGTTCTTTCAGCGCCAGTTTTTGGAAAGCGGATCGCGGAGATGGATGCAGTGCCAATCAGAACTCCAACCGGCATCACCGAAAGGAAGCTTTTTCTCCGTGCCTCGTTGGAGGAGAAAGCCACGCGTTGGTCGGGGAGCTTCTTGGAGAACGCTCGTCTCTACAGCCACCTCAGTCTTGACCTGAGATGGACCCATGACAAGTGACCAGGGATTGGGATTTAGGTTCGAACCTGAAGTTCCAGATCTGCTGATTTTGAGTGCTGCACTTTATTGTGCGTGCAGTAGGCCTTGCTACACAAGGAGTTCGATCTCGCAGGCACTCAAGCAATCCATCCGTCCATCCATCAAGCAATCAATCAATCCATCAATTGATCAATCAGTCAGTCAATCACTCACTCAGTCAAGCACACACTCAATCAATCACTCAGTCAATCATTCACTCAATCACTCAATCAATCACTCAATCAATCAATCACTCAATCAATCAACCAACCAATCAATCAATCATGCGTTCATATTTCTCGCTAGGAACCGTAGAATTTAACCTTCACGTTTACCTAGGAGTCGCCTCTACTTGGTTTAAAGATCCCTGAAACATGACTAGCAGCCGAAACTACAAACGTCACAAGCAATGCGGGCTGGTGTTTCAGTACAAGCTCCAGTCTTTGACCCATGTTCCTCAAGTTCAGGGTCCTAGAAGACCTGACGTGACGCGGAGGTGGTGGGCAATTGCAAAGCCGATCAATGCGGAAGGCTGGACTCCTTGAGCATCAGGTCAAGTACAAGCCAGTAAGTACCGCTGGCCTCGGGTTCCGCTTGCCCCAGTCAAGCTTTTGCAGCCTTGTAGTGCCTGCTTAGAGTAAGTAGGCAGTTGTGCTGGGCGATAGAGCTTCGCGCTTTGACCACGAACTTACCTCAAGTGCTGTTCTTTGGCCTCGGATACCGAGACTGCAGGGGACTTCCTTTTCCCTGCAAGGCCAGGCTGACCATCGGTTGGTTCATGTGGATACTTGGCTTAAGCTTATAATATGGGTTGTCCTCAGAGGCCACAGTTTTTACAGCATTCCTCGACCAAAAAAAAGTTGAAAGCTCAACCCCCCAAACCTGAACCCCAAAACCACTAAACATTGAACGAACATTCTCAACAGAGTCCTCAGGAGCTCCAGGAAGGCAGTGTTTGGTGAGCATGCCGGTGAGGAACAGACCGAAAACACACCAACGAAGCGCTGCAACCATGTGAACATTCATGGTAGTCTTCTCTTCGGCTCCGGAATTTGGAATCAGGTTCAGATAATGACGAAGAGCCCGCCATACTGCTCGACATTGATGGCCATGCAGTAGTATCCAAGACCCTGGAACCCCAGAGCTTGGCAAAAGAATGGCCATGAGCTGAGGCGAATCTGGTACATTCTTTTCTATGGCGCTTTGATTTTTCTGTCTATATTCGTCGTGGGCCTCTGCCTCGACAAAAACTGCAAGGATTATGGCCCATGCGCCTTATGCTGCGCTGGCTGTGGCGTGTGTGTGCTCGTCTGTGTGGGCATGTTCATCTTTTCGGGACTCATGCTCTTTGGACGATATGTTTCAGGCAAGTGCTTGGGTTGCATTTGGTATGTTTTCCAGAGGGCTCACCACGAAGTTTTTGTTGAAGAGTTTATCGACCAGTTGCTGAGGCATGCTTTATATGATGGCTCGGGGTATGTGATTCGGGACCAGGCTACTAATAACGACTCGTAATGACATCAAATGGACTTGTGAATAGCATGCCGGTGAGTGGATCTTGTGGGTCTTGTCAGAGTCGAGGTGCGAGTGCGACTGTACCTGATGTGCCAGCAGTTGAAGCAGCCACTTGCGATGAAGGGCCCTCGCACAGGCGCAGGGTTGATACTGCTCGTCTGTGCAACAGCAAGCTGGTGCAGCCAGGGGTCAGGCTAAGAATACGAGCTGCCTTGTCGCAGGGCGCAGGTGGACAAAAGACTCCTTGTCGTGATTTGGCAATGCTTGAATGAAGCGCTGCACTCCTTAAGCACGGGGTGGAAGCAACAAGTAGAGCAAGAAGTGCAGAAGTAGCAACAAGACGTAGCAGGAAAGTGCTTAACAACATGCCAGGACAACGTTTTGGTCCCAGCATATTAATACTGCTGGAGTACTCCTCCTGCTCCCCTAACTGCTACTACTCCTCCTCTTCCTCCTCCTCCGCCTCCTGCTGCTCGTGCTAGTACTGCTACTACCACCACCACCAACTACTACTACTACTACTACTACTACTACTACTATTACTACTACTACTACTACTACTACTACTACTGCTACTACTACTACTACTACTACTACTACTACTACTACTTCTTCTGCTACCACTGCCACTACCACTACCCCTACCACTACCACTACCACTTCCACTTCCACTACCACTACCACTACCACTACTACCAGTACCACATATACTACTACTACTACTGCTACTACTACTACTCCTACTCCTGCTGCTGCTGCTGCTACTACTACTACTACTACTACTACTACTACTACTACTAGTATACTACTGCTTCTGCTACTACTACTCCTACTCCTACTCCTACTCCTACTCCTACTCCTACTCCTACTCCTACTCCTACTCCTACTCCTACTCCTACTCCTACTCCTACTCCTACTCCTACTCCTACTCGTCGTGCTTCTGCTAACAGGTGTCACAGTAGTCGTCATCGCTTGTCAACAACGACGCTACCTCCAACTAAGACAAATGCCACTGTCATGATATCAACTGACGCACAAATGACAGGGTTCTATTCTGTGATCTACTCTGCTTTACTTTCTTTGGACATTTTCGCGGCATGGGAGCTATCATTGTTGCAGGCGCGATGTAGGGGCGTTGCCTTCCCTATAGCGTATGACTTCGAATCTTGATCCAGATTATAGTGACGGTGCAGGTATAGTTATAGGAAGCCTGCTTTACAGAAACAGCGTTGTTGGTGCACTGTATCATCAAATGATTGCGCGGTTGAAGTGCCAGGCTCAAATGCCAATAGCTGCTGTTGTCTGACCTCCAATTTTGGATCCACGATCTTGCGGTCTTTGCCACCATGCGCTTGCATGTCCTTGTCCTCCTGGCGAGCGCAGCTGCCTATCGTGAAACCGATGGGCACCAGACAACTTGGCTGCATTTGGATAGTTGTTTGCTTGGTAGCCCTGACGCATGGACGTTGCAACATTTCGTCACCTGTCGTTGCATCCAGGAGATGCTATGGTGGAGCCAGCATTGCTGTTTCAGTTGAGTGTAGTTGGCTTTTTGAGAACGGAGCGTTGTACCGGCACCGTGTCATGGAGCTTGGCCCGTTGGGAAATCGTCAGACCGCAATCTGAGGAAGAGTAGCCTCTCCGTCATCGACATCCAGCAGCAGGAGGCAGGAGTCCTGGCATGGAGGATTGTGCAGCTTGCTGTAGGGTGGATGTATCGCAAATCTGGCGCTGTCAGATTCAACGACAAGCACAGGATGCACACTACTTTAGGTGGGGGTACGCTGGAAGAATCCAGTAGTGAGTTGGTGGAAGAATCAATGATTGGTAGCATATTTCCTTGTGTACAAACTACTCAGGACCCATGCCATGTCGTTGCTACATGTTCGCACAGGGACAAGATGCAGACATGTGTGGACATGCAAAATTGAAATTATTGTCGTAATCCGTTCCATTGTCGCCAATATGATCTCTTTCATGCTCATGCTTGCTCTTAGCATCAGCATTAAGAAAATCACTGACGGAAGAGCTAGGGCACTTCTTATCTTCTTGCGCTGGGTCAAACACTCCCAGCCAGACAAACCCTAATCCGGCGAAGAAGCTGTCATGCTGAATCCGCAGACCCTGACTGGCATGTAGCTTGAGACTTTGGGTTCGTGCAGGGTTTCATGATTCGGGTTAGGCTAGATTGTTGAAGGCTTGCCTTGAATCATCCAGCTTCCGGGCCTTCAGGATTCAGGATTGCACGGATCGTTCACATTGCTGGCCTGTATGTGAGGGCACTTGACATCAGACTTCATTGGAACCCTGTAAATCAACCGTCTCTTTCAGGACGGCGAGCCGTGACGCATCAAAAGATGTGGGCACACGGGACGTAGGAAAACGGGCACATATAACATAAAGCCCATCCCTCAGCTGCATAATGAACCTACATCCTGAACTTTGAAGCTTTGTGGCCCAGCTCTCCTAGTAAACCTTGCGTGTATCTTCTGTGCCACGCGCAAACGAGCTGGCAGGTTGCCCACAGCATAGAGAAGAAGAAGGCATCATCTGTCCATGCAGGGGAGAAGTCGCCAGGATCCCCAGCAGGGCATTGTTGAAAAGCAAATAACAAGAAGCAAACTCATAATGATGATAATCATAACATTCCAAAATCATGGTTTCTTGTACTGATCGTCAGATTGGTTCTACAAGGGAGGACGGCCTGAACATGAACCACCATGATCAATGCGAGCATGGCATGTAATCACCATGGGTAGAGATAGTGGCAGAAGCGATCGTATCGATAGTGATCGTAGCAGGAAGAGTAGAAGTAACCGTAGAAGCAGCAGCAGAAAAGGAAGTAGCAGTAGCAGTAGCACCATTGCATTGCATTGCATTGCGTTGCATTGCATTGCATTGCGTTGCGTTGCATTGCACTGCAGTTGCAGTTGCAATTGCAACTGCAATTGCATTGCATTGCACTGCATTGCACTGCACTGCACTGCACTGCACTGCATTGCATTGCACACGCTGCTCCGATCCCGAACGAAGCATTGCGAGGGAGACAAGGCATATGCCTCGGCAGCTTTGTAGCTGCAGTGCGTTTGCACTTCTCGACAGCATAGTCGGCACTATTGGCTGCTGTAGCAGCTATACGTAAATGTGTCAGTCCATGGAATGCAGGTCAAAATTCAACTCCGAAACACGCATCGATGCCCTCAGCTGAGAAAAGCTCTGCGATGCCTCACTCCCAACATTGAACGGGTGTTTACTTAGCTGCCCAAACACCATGAACTGAATCAGGCTCGAAAAATCTGCAAGACCAAGCAGCCCACCCTCCGTTCCTCTCTTGAAACCAAAAAACCATGGCTCGAGAACCATGAGGTGAAAAACAGTGCTGTAACCATTCCAAGGCTTGGGGATGCCGACCGAGCTACAATGCGAGAGAACCAATACACACATTTCACGACGTGGCAGTACATCTCCAGACGATATGGGGGGTAAGTGTCTGTGTTAGAGCTGGAGGTTAACACCCCACACACACACACAACAACATTGCTCAGTGAATTTGAGTGCACGACGGTGCACGAAAAAAAGCGCCGACCGATCCCCGCCCCACGAACAAACCCCCGCACCCTCAGCAGCGACCCTTGGGGATCAGGCACATGGCCTGTCCTCGCCCGGCCGTGGGTCATGCCCCGGCATTAACCACGTGTGTCGTGCACCGTGGAAACGAAAAACGAATCGTAGTCTCTTTCGTCGTAGAACCGTGCCCCGACGCATCCCAATTCAGTGTATGTGTATCAAACAGGTTCGAGCCTAACGCCAGCTGTGGACACAAAAATGAGGAAGGAGCCACGGGGGTGTAATACGCACAACGCGACCAGAGCCCGAACTACCAGCTACCTGCGATTCGTCCGACTGCCCACCCAAAAAAGCAGTCCGACGCGATAGTCCCCGCGACTTTGGGCGGGACCGTTCAGTTCGCGCATCCGGGCCCCAACACCCAAAGCCGACCACGCCCGAAATCACCGCACAGCAGCCCAACACACGGTCGGACTACCGCCAGCGATGTGGGTCCCGTCGGCCCCAACTCAAACGACCAGCACAGAATCCTAAATCGAAGGCGAGCACCATCAGGCATGGGTTAGCCAGGGGGGTTGTGACTTCACTGGTGCCGCGGGGAGCGCTTGCCGATGCTGCCTCCAACCAGCTTGATTCGGATCCCTTCAATCTAGATGTTTCGAGCTCTCCCGCATCTTCCAAACCAAGAGGAAAAGCAAACACCTGCCCCGTCTGCGATGCCGCCCGCTTGCAAATTGCCTGTTGCACCCTCGGTACTGCAAGTCCGCAGGCGCAGGACGCGGGTGGTTGTGTCAGCTTCAGACCAGTGTTGCATGCCGAGGTGTGACGACCGTTGGGGCCGGCACGAGTGCCCAAGCAGCCCTACTTAGCTCTCAGCACGACGTCCGTGTCACAGACCTGAGCACTACATAACCCTTGGCATTGCAGCTCCAGTAGGACAGGTACTTTCAATGCTGAGTGGAAACGTGAGGTGCGCTGCAGGCACAGAGGCAAGGAAGGTCCGTTTGGTCTTCCATACTTCCGCAGTGCACATGCTACATGGCACACGTTCCACCGTTGTGCTGTCCAAGCGTATTGGCAGGTTTTATGCAACATTCAAGCCTAGACCCTTACACAGCAGAGCCTAAACCCTAGGGCGGGGGCGGGATTGGCACTTACAGGGCAAAAGATTGAAGCCAAGTCCTTCCAGCACGCGCCTATCCTCTGCAGAAAGAGACAAGTGAGACCGAATGTGAAAGCCTACTAATAGGAGCCGTTCTCCTTCCCAGCTTAAAGTAGCATGCGGAAGCTTCGCCTGCAGCCTCACATACGGCCGTGTGATGTCAAGGATCCCTCCTCTGGGGCCGTTCTCATCCATCTGCACGCAGCCACTGACTGCGGTGCTCCACACGCCTCCTCCCTTGAAAGAGGAGACCGGTATCAGGACGTTGTCACACTCCGTGCTGTTGTGGGCAGTGGACTGCACTGCGGACATTCCTGGCTAATGTGAGGCTATTGCAATGCTCACCCGGAGCCATGCTA